CTTTCCTCTGGTCCCATACGTTCTCTGTTCCTTCTCTCCCTTCCTTTCAATTAACTGAGTAATTTTTAGTGTCTCCACGTATTTCCTTAGTTAGACCTTTACTTTCACCTCTTTGTTTTATTTTATTTTTAGTACTTGCTCTGGGGGGATGACAAGTGTCCTCAAGTCACCGCAGTTCCACCCTGAACAAACTGCACCACCTCCGTGTGCCGTAGGACCTGCTTCCCATCTGCTGCGTTACTGTTGTCACACGTTGTACGTCTACATTTATTATGAATCCCACAATACAATGGTTTTGTTTATTTTAAACAGTCACATGTCTTCTAAGGAACTTAAGAACTGAGTGGGGGAAAAGCTTTTACGTCACTGACAACTTCCCCACCGCGGATGTTCGTCCTGGCTCCTGAGGACGCCTCGGTGGAGCGCCCCTGCCCTCCAGCTTGAAGAGCTGCCTTTAGCATTGCCCCCTCTGCAGACCTGCTGGCAATGAGTTCTCTTACTTTCATTGGTGTTAAAATGTCTTGATTTCGCCTTCATTTTTGAAGGCTATTTTTTGTGGAGGTTAATGATAGGCTTTTTTCTTTTTTAGCGTTTCAGCCGCGTCCCTCCTTGGGCTCTGGTTTGCAGCGTCCCGAGAAGTCAGCAGCAACTCCCGCCCTTTCCCTGTAGGTGATGTGTCGCGATGTGTCTTCCCCGTGCCCGCCCCAACTTCTTTTCAAGATTCTCTCACATCTTTGGTCTTCAGCAATGCGACTATAATAAAGCTAGGTGCTGTTTTCTTTCTGTTTATCCTGCTTGGGGTTCATTGAAAACCTTGGATCTTTGGGTTGATATTTTTAATACAATTCGAAAATTTTCCAGCTATCGTACTTCCAAGTGTGTGTATTGTGGCCCCCTCCTCTTGCCTCTGTCCTTCCGAGACTCCGATTGCACTTAGGTTAGAGCCCTTGATGCTGTCCCCGGCCACTGCAGCTCTTCTATTTCTTTTTCTGACTTTCTCCCGGTGCTTCAGTTTCGATGGTCTGCTGACCTGCGTCCAAGTTACTCACTTCTCCACGTTCAACCTGACAGAAAGCTCTTTCACGGTGGTTCCACTTTAGACCCTATGTTTTTCAGTTCTAGAATCTCCACTTGGCTCTTTACTGTAATTTCCATTTCTTTGTTGAAATTCCCACCCATGCACTAATTATGTCCATTAAGAATCCCTTATTGTATTTATGATGGCTGTTTTGAATTCCATGTCTGCTAATTTCAACATATATCTGGGTCTGTTGATGGTTTTTTCTACTCTGCTGACGTTTTTTCTCCTGGTTGTGAGTCACATTTTCCTGCTTTTCCACATGTCTAGTAATTTTTTATTTTATGTTGGACACTGCGTGGGCTCTACAAATATTGTGAGGGTGTGGACTACGTTGACTTCCTTTCAAGAGTGTCGGGTTTTGTTCTGAAAGGCAGTTAATTTACTGGTGGTTCAGCTTTGTCCTGCTGAGATTTGGATCAGGTTTTGTGAGGACAAGGCTTCAGCAGCCCTGTTCCTAAGGCGTGGCCTTTCTGATGCCTGGGAAATTCTGTGAGGCCCCCTGCTCTAGGTGGTCAGAACTCCATCTCCTCTCAGCACAGTGTGGCCACTGCCATCTCTCTCCAGCTTACATACCCCCCCACACACACACCGTGCAAAAACCTGTTTTCCGACAGGTCTTGTGGAATCTAGCCCTGTGCACGTATAGTTTACTGCTCAGCCACGGACTCTGCAGAGCCTCTGCACAGAATGAGAGCACTGTTGTCAGTGCAGGAACCTTCCCCCGAGATCACGCACCCCATGCTCTGGCCTCTGCTCCCTCCCAGAAGATCTCCTGTCTGGGCTCCACTTTCCAGCACTGCAGCGTGGGAAGCTGCCCAGGCGGAATGCCAGGGTGAACACGGAGCTCACTCTCAACATTCCCTTCTTGCAAGAACTGCTGCCTTGCACTATCTGCTGTCCAATGCATCCATTATTCTTCCATGGCCAGAACGGGTATAAAAAATGACTTTCATATTTATATAAAGACCCAACACTGTTGGTGATGGTGTTAAATCAAAATGCTGAACAAAGTAGGAAGGTCCAAATGACATTCTTAGACTATTTTCTCAACCCATTTTGTGTCTATTTTAAGGATCTACATGAAATTTCTCATTAATACATATTCCTTTACATTAATAGTATAAACATGAAACCTATTTTGGCAAG